ATATATATATATATATATATATATATATATATATATACTGGTGTCAGCCAGCCCTGACACGATGTGAAACAGCTCCATCATGTTTTCCAGACATCTCACATGGTGCTTGCAGGTCACCTGGAAGAAGGAGATCATCCTGGCTACCTGTGAATTTTAGACAAAGTTTTTATATTACATTTGATGATCTGTCCATGATGATGTTTAGATGAGATATGTACAGCCCAATACCATGTGAATTTTCATATTAATTTTATGTGAAATCTGTAACAAAGCATTAATGTCACAACTGAAATTACAATAATTAATGAATACAGAAATGTATTATTTTCTTTAAATTCCCAGCCGCACAACAAGCTATTTCAGACAGAAGAAAAATTATTTGACTTTCACATTACATTCTTTTAGTATTTTATCTTCTGCTCTTACTGTCATCTCTTTATTTCAAAATAAAAGATACAAGAGAGGTAAGCCAGCACTGCAGCAGCTTTCTAATGCATATTTGCTCAGAGTGTGCTTTATGCAGTGCACAGTGTTCTGTAGCTGCCTAACAGAGTGTTGCACCATTGATTTTTCTGTTTTAATCCATTGTCTTTTYGGAAGAAAAAAAAGAGAAAGTTTAGACATTTTATCTGAAAATTAATTACACTAAGAAATAAATTAAAGGCTTAACAAAATGTCTTCAGAAGTTGCAGTGCTGATTTTGTTTTGTTTTTATTTCAAAAGCTTTAAGGAAATGGTGGTTTAAAAAAGAGCTCTCATTCCTAATAAAGTGTAACCCTGGAAATCTTCGTTATTCCTGCAGTATCCGAGAAAGGGACAGCAATGGTTCCTATGCCTTGTGCCTACTGAATGATGGAAAAGTTCTGCACTATCGTATTGACAGAGATAAGACAGGAAAGCTCTCCATACCGGATGGGAAAAGATTTGACACCCTGTGGCAGGTCTGTTAATTTCATGCTACCTGGTTATCTGTCATGACATTTCCATACAATTGACCAAGGCAGATTTGTTTTATTTTGCCTCGTGACAATAGTCTTTGGCCAAAATCCAACACATTTTGGCAGGTTATTTGTCACATTTTTCCAACATTTTGTGAGGTCTATACATGAAGATTTCTATACATGTACATACATACAYGTGGTTTCTATAAAAGCTAATATAGAAAGCTATGTGAGTGTAGAGTGTTTAATCATTTTTAAATGTGATGCTGCAGCCTGTWATTAATTATTGTAATTAATAATGTAATGTAATTAATAATTGTAATGTAAACTGTAATTAATTATTAATTTAGCTGAAGATTCKCTAGAATGAAAGCCTGTTTGCATTTGCAAGTAACCATATTCAGTAATGGAAATGCTTGGTTTAGTGTTTTGCTAATGCTCTTTATGACAGCAACAAACAGAATTCTAGGAAGCAAAAAGGGGATGGTTTAAGATGCTGTAGACTTAATGCAGTCTTTAGTTTTGAAATTCTTTACCTTCAAGTATGCAAAAGCATGGCTTGCTGACCCTTACCACCAAATTACATTTGAATCCTGATAAAGATGAAGCAATTAAGAAGTCCATAGCTGACTATACCATAGTTAATAATAAAACTGAATACTGGTAAAATGACACTTTATACTGAAAATACTAYGGGAATTGAAATCCCTGAAGAAATCTCTTATCTCTTAGAGATCTATTAAAACAGGTAAAGTGAGTCAAAAATCTAAAATAAGAATCTTTGCTTGCATACAGTAATTTTTAGTCTTTTTGTTAATGCCCTACGTATTTCTCTCCTTGTGTCTCTGGAAATTTAAAAGCAGTGCAGCTATGCCACAATTCATGTGAACATGTCTGCAACTCTTACACTCACAGACCTTCTCCTTTATACCCAAATGCACCAAATGGAAAATAGCACAACAAACCTGTAAAAAATGACAGGAAAATCCAGGAGCACAAATGGCCACAGCTACTGATGCTGTCAATTTATGAAATGCTCATATCGCATTGCAGTTCAGAGGTCCAAAGAAAGCATTGCATATTAAGATTTTCTTACACTGTAATTATGCCAGAAAAAAAGTAAAAATGAAAAAAAGAGGGTGAGAACTCAGAGATACAAAAATAAGTTTTTTGTTCAGAATTACATAGCTGTTAAGTAGGAGAACCAGGTGGGGAATACTGACCTTTACAAATCAAATTCCTGGATCATGTTCTGCGTTCCTCCACAAGGTTACTTTACAAACATGTACCCCTTCTAAATAGAAGTAAAGAACATGTGCAGTAAAAATCTGCTGTATGCCAAGGTCATTTGTTGTAATATTTATTGACTATGTATATGATATGTTGTAATATTTATTGATGATGTACAGTTCTAAAGAGACAATATGTTTGAGGATATCACCCATATATTTTCATATCTTTTTCTCTCATTATTTCTTTTTTTTTTTCTCCCCTCTCATTCTGCTAGTTAGTTGAGCACTACTCATACAAACCKGATGGATTATTAAGGGTTCTTACTATTCCTTGTCCACAACATGGCTCAGAAAATGGTGAGTTATTCCTATATTTTTCTATGTGTAAAGAGACAGGATGATTATGATAAAGTTGTGTGCATTTTTTCCACTTGCCATGTAGGTGGGTGCAGATTTTCCACTTTTCAAATGAGTCAATATCTGCCAGACTGTACATGGTGGAGGCAGATCCTGTAGCTTAAGGCTACCAAATCAAATTACTGCTGGGTATAAATTATTGTCAGATCAGAAATGTGCTCTTCTGCTCCAAGTGGCAGTGTGTGTTACTTGGACCCCTCACACAAATAAGGTGGTATTCCCAGCACTCCTCCAGTGGTCCTTATTCCAAGCTGAAACAGGGGCAGCAGCAGGAGTTCTGCTGAAGGAATTCAGCAGGAATTCAGCAGCAGTAATCCAAGCTACAGSAGTGAGCCGTTCTCCCAGCAGGTGAGTCCCTGTGTTGGGGGGTGCTGCACCCGACACTGAAAGTGGGGGTCAGAGAGGCATTCCTTGGTGACATGTGAGAAAGGAGAAGATGTGGGGAAAATGTCAGGAGGTTCAGTGTGCTTTTTATGCTGCTGCTCCTTTGATGTCATGTCACACTGTGGAGACACTGTCCTCCCTCTTGCCCTGACTGAAAGGGGAAAAGAGATGCATCTGACTGATCTGTGTCCAGCTTGTGCTCTTCCAGAATTGGTTTTGTCTCTCTAAGGCTGCCTTCTGTCATTCTAGCTKGATACCAGCACCATGGTGAGAGGATATAGAATAGTAGAATAGAATTGTAGAACCATGTAGGCTGAAAAATTCACTTGAGATCATCAAGTCCAACACTGAAGKTTTTTATTTTTTTCACTCTTTTCAATCACTATATGCTTTTTCTACTGCTCTTTTTCTGCTCCTTTGAATCATTTAGGCTCTGCACATACCTTTGTCTCTGTGGCCGCAAGTACCGGAGTATGCTACATGTAAGGGACAAAAGCAAAGAAGAGAAGTCCAAGAGAAAAACTGTAATGTGGTTTAAAAACTAAGCAGCTGTTTCCCTCTGTAAAATTCTGTGTTCTTACACAAATTTCTCACCTTGCTCCATATCACATTACATTCGATTCTTTTACAGATAATTTTGGTTTTAATACTCATCCTTCTTCGGGAACGCTTCCTAAGGTAAGTGTAATTGGTGATATAGCAATAGCATTCATTTGAGAAGGCTTACAGTCACATACTGCTCTAGGAATTCTGCTTCTAATTCTTGGATCTGTGAGTTCATTTTTCAAGGGTTGTAAGCAGAGAGTTGGAAAGAAGCTTGAAATATYCTAGCATGGTATTGCTTTCATCAGTGTTTTGTATGTGCTAATCATAATTTAATTTTGTGAACTTTTACACATTAATGCATGTGAAAAAACAGTATTTTACTGCAAAGTGCCTCATTGATGGTCATATTCTATACTTACTGTATCAACACTAGGAGAAGAGATAGCACATTGCTTAAACATTGTTCCCTTTGAGAATTTGCTGGCTGAAGCAGAAATGAAGGGTCAATTCTGTTTCATATTTTGTGTGCTCAATTAACATCAGACTTTCCACAAGGGTTTTAGTTACTGTGCACTGCATTAGGGATGATTCCTTGATCAACACCATGCAGAGTGAGCAAGTCCCCCTGTTACTATAATTACCTAAGTTTTTGGAGTCCATTGACTACAGACTCACATAATACTATGTTGTTCAATGTAGCTGTTTTCATCTGAAATAGGGAGTTAATTCGAGTCATTTCCCTGGAGAACTTAATCATCTAGATCATTATCTCGATGCAGTCCCACATTATAGAAAAAAAATACTTTGTTCAAATAGACAATTGCATTTTATTTATTTATTTATTTATTTATTTATTTATTTATTTATTTATTTATTTATTTCTGCTCTTTTGAGCCCTAGCAGGCCTGTGATCAACCATTTTCATACCTTTGCTTCTGAAAATCAGATACCTTTTTAAATAATTGGAAATTAAACAACCAAAATCAATCCCTTTTTTTATTAAATCTTGCCTTGAGGTTTGCATCTGTGCCATGTATACAAGAATGTGCATGAAGTTTAAGCACATGAGACCACATGTTTATCATCTGGTATAGATGCAGTTGTAGACATAGGGCAAGCACATTCAGTGGGATTACTGTGTACATTGCATAATATCCACAAAAAAATTCACTGTCTAAGTGTAAATTTAACTACTGCTTAAGTCTTGTCATGATAACTGGAAGSAAAGTCACCAAAGCCAAGAATGAGAGTGCATGTTTTGCAAAGAGTCTACTAAAATATTATTTAAAGCTTCAATTTGACATTCAGAACTTAAAACTGAAATCTGAATTTTGCTCTTTGGTATTTCTAAAAAATGAGCCTGTAACTTACTTTCTTGTAGATTCACATAAACTTAGCAAATGGAAAATTTAAAATTACTACCACTGCTCATGGAGCTCAAAGAGTTCACTTAATATTTCCAGGTTCTTGCATATTAATACCTTTGTGCAAAAGCAGTAACTCATGAAGATTTTTTAATATTCCAGAAATACAGTTATACAAATTACGACAAAAACAAAAAAAAAAAAACAAACAAAAAAAAAATAGCATGAAAAGAATTACTGTAATCGCAAACACAGTCAAACACAGTCTGATGTGGAGAATGTGCAATCCATCTTCATATTACTTACACCATGATAATTAAGATTTAAGAGTTTCTGGCATTTCTAGTATACTACACTTTTAGTTTTTTTTAAATTCATGAAAAGGATTGCCAGAATAGGTAAATTGGAATTGTGAATTTTTGGATTGGGTATCAAAATAATTAGAGATTAAATAGAGAAATTTCCTGGGCAAAAAAAAAAAAAAAAAAAAAAGGGTGAAGCTCAGTAGAAACTAGTGCAAAACATTGCACTTCTAGTAATCAGATATAGATCACAGGATGGAGAGTAGAGACAGCTTTTCAGATGATGTGATACCTGCAATGAATCAGAACAGGGACAAGGATGTGCAATCACCATGCTGGTAGAGGAAAAGGAAGCATCAATGGGTTTCCATCTTGTTCAACACTGACAAGGTTCTCAGCTGAAAAACTTTCACCAGTTTTTGACACTGCATCGAAGAATTTTGTCCAACAGGAGATAACCTAAAGCAAGGCAACAAGAATGATCTTTATTTGTGAGAAAGGATTGATTATAATAAAGAAGCAAAAGAGAGAGAGTAGAGAAGTAAAATGGCCAGCTCTAAGCAATAATCTCATACTGCTGTTCCCATTGAGACCAATTTTTCAATGATTTTTTTCCTTTTTATATATATTACAGCCTGAAATACAGTGGTGCTATTCCAAARTCTTAGCAGACTAGCATGCCCAAATCTGAAGTTGAAGTTAAGAAAGGTAGAACAACCTGCTGGGTGATATACAAGGCAGCCTGTCCAACTAATTTATTTGTAAACTGTTGGTGTATGCGGGCTTGGAATAAAATTTGCATCACGGACATAAATCTACATCAGATTTGTGTAGTGCTTGCTATCATTCCACTAATAAACTTGGAATAACAAGATGCTTAAGTTTATTGTAGTAGGGGCATCTTCTTTTCACTAATACTAAAACACTTCCTCTCGAAAAGAAAGGGCTTTATGCCGAAAGTCTGTATTGAAGCTCATTTTCCCGTGCAGTATATCAAGACTTGCTCATTCCTGCTTCTCTCAGGGCACACWTAGACTGGGACTCTTTTTGCCTTTCACCAGAGGCTCCATGGCTAGATTTCAGGTGATTTTAATCCCTTTCATTTTATAAACTACCTTTTTCTTCCTGTAATCAATTTCATTTCCAGTAGGCATTTAAACCTGCAGAGGATCTTTTGAAATGACTGCTTAGTTCAGTTCTCCACCTGATGACATTACAGTGAAGCTGCCAAATTCTGGCCTTTTCCCAAAGTCTCCTCTTTTTTTCTCAAAATTGTATTTGTTTAGTCACAGCTTTTCAAGTGGTAATAATAGACCKGAACTTTATGAGCACAGCCTAACTATAACTAGTACTGTCGCTGTCCCTGCTGAAGTATTCTTTGTAGCATTTGTAAGTACAATACAATTGTGATTTAAGCAGTATTACCATCCAGTCACCTCAGGTGGTTGCTTGCTCAGATGCTGGGAGGTACTCTGGCTGGAAAAGTACAATAACAGCCATGCTCAGCTTGTGCAAAGGAACACTTGATCTCTTTAAGAATTTATCTGTTGCAAAACTGTAGCTAAAGTAGTACTTCAGGTTTCGTTTGTTCCCAGTACAAAAAGAAAATTTCATTAAGCAAAAGAAAATAGCTGACTCAGTAACCTTTTKCACTATGCAACAACTGAATTTTTATGTATCACTTAATTTTTATGTATCATTTTATGTCAGACACCAAAAAGGTGCCTTGTTCTTCCAGCATCAACAGGGACCACTTGTCTATTCGTGTTTTTTTGAAACAAAAGACTCTTATTTTTAATGTGAAATCAGATATTTTATTTAAAAGATAGCTAGAAAATATACCAATCCTATAAATTTTAAAAGGTACCTTTTCAGAAAAAAGAAGTCTAAGTGGGCAATCAAAAAATTCAGAACTTCTAAGTGAACTCAAAGGCTGTTTAAAGTGAGTGGGAATTAGAGTGGCTTAGATTGTTGTTTCAGCCTCAGTATCAGTCTAAATGTTTGAAAAATAAGTACTCCATCACAGTTTTRAATAGTCAGGTATGATCTCTCAGTAACCCCTAGAAATGCTAATATGTCACATTTAAATTAATTACTGTATTCTTGGAAAATATATTTACAAATCTTTTAAAGGTATCATTACAGAGAAAGTAAGTGCATGCGCAAAATGTAAAGCCTG